GTACGAATAAAATGACGCTTATCAATGGCCTTCAAAAGAGGTGGTCTGCCAGAGCAAGAAGCATTAGATACAGTCTAATCTCTTTCAAACTTATTTATTATGTTACTACAAGTTGTTCTAGGTATTTTAAATATTTTTTCGATGTCTGTGGCAGAGTGATTTCTCTTGTGAAGACCAACAACCATGCCACGCTCAAAATCACTTAACTCTCGAGTTTTTGTCATTTTTTACCGAAAGTCGAAGTCAAAAACAAAGAAGTTATCTTATGAATTTAGTTGGATTTTCGTAGAATAAATGCAAAATTTTATTTGAGTGACCAATACTTTTGGCCAGTATGTGTATATTAATACTTGAGATTGTTCCCCACCAACATTATAATAACGACAACGATATTATTTCAGGGAAGTTTAAATCATAATAACGAACTTGAACAGAAAATAATTTTGTAGAAAGAAGTAAAGGTTTAGTATTAGTTAATAGAAAGCATTAAGAAGTCTTTATTATTTCTTGAACAATAAGATGACTATAGGTAATATTCGCGTAAGATAATCTCTCAGTCTAGTTGTTAATTGACTAACTACCAAGTTTTACGTATCATAGGTTTCAGTTTAAGCAGTCTTTCGTTGAAAACTTTTCAGTAAATGTGAAGATAACAATAAAATGTTATGTCCATTGTCAACCATAAACGACAGCCTGTCACATCTACGGAGTTGATGGTCCTAAATCATTTGCATATATACGTACGTATTATCCCACACACCAATGTGTTAACCGATTTATATTAGGCCCTTTTCAACCTTAACTACAAACTTTATGCCAATCAGTTTCTCACTACTGCAATAAGATATCTTACGATCAGTAAAAATACACAGTTGTTATAGCGAACAATGTTTAAGGTTTAGTAAGTGAAACAACATGCATGTGGAAAACGTCGGTAGTTTACTATTTTTGAATTGGCAGCAGCGAACGATTTCTGATTTTATTTCAGTTATCTCAATTTTTCAAATGAAAAGACACAAAAAATAATGTAATCAATTAAGTGAATTTCGCCCCTATTTTAGGAGTATTTTTCTATTTAATAAATATAACGTCCTTCGTTTAGCTCCTTGGTTTCCCTCATTTAATCATAATCCATATTTCGCAACTTTTATTCCAAAACTCACAATTCCGATTCACACCCTTCTGTCTTTCTTGTCCCTTCTCGCTCTTTTCATATTTCCCATCATTCTAACTCTGATGACTCTCCGGGAGTACGAACCAATCACTGTGCATTCGCCTACAGAAATCGCTTTTATATATAATGTGGGTGATAACCATTCCATCAATCTTTCTTCGGTTACATTGAGACACTTTTCAACGTAGATAAATAACCTAAATAGAACATTACGTCAGTAACGAAAGATCCACATTTCACACGGCCAGCATGTTCCGTTACGTCATATGGTATCTTATACGCGACAGGCAAGCCTGTTGGAATCCAAGCGTTCGATCTGAATGATGATAATGCTGGTATGCGCTATTAGGGCAGATATAAACACAAAGTTGTCACATCTAGAAAATCATAGGTCTATTGTCGTGAAGACCTCAAAGGGCGAGAAGGACTGTTTATCCATAGAGGATGTGAGTCGAGAGATACATTTATTTAAACGTAAAGGATTTGACTTTTGAGACTGTGCCTATAGGGGGGGGCATGCAGACATTGTAATAGAATGACAAGGCCGCTAGTAAAGGTAAACGGTGGGCGGTAAAATTTATATAATGGGAAGCGAACAAAACCGTGCAATGCAGAATATGGAGGGTGTGCATATATTTACTAACTCCCGAGCTTGGAATAAGACATGGCGTGCATATATGGAGAGTTGACTGACTTTATCCAATATTATTGACAATTATTTTTTCTCCTCCCCCTTACTATATACATTACCAGGCATTAAGCTAAGCTTCTTTCTTTTAGTCTTGTAAATAGTATTTGCTTTTCTCATGTACTAGCTACCAGGAAACAGCTTTAGCAGTTTCCTGTAGTTGTCAATAAAGATTCTATAAATCGAACATTTTGCGCATCATAGAAAACTATACATCAACATTAATCTGAAAGTGTAATGTTTCTACTCAATGTTTAATACAAGAATCGTAAATATCAAAATTTAAAGTACCACTGTTATATATACCAAATCAGAACTGTAAGTATATATATATAAATTTTTTTTTACAAAAATAGTTGGATGGAGAATAGCAATATCGTTAAACGTAATAAAAGCTAATTAATATTAATATATTTGTGTAATAAATTACGTTCGTTGGTGCATACATTACACATTTTATTATAAATTCCCGGTTTTTAATAATAGAAAGGCTTTGGTTTGAACAGGTATATAAACCGAAAGAGTTTGATATCCTAGTTATTGAGTGATTAGACAGAACAGAATATTTTATTTTAACCTAAGCTATACTTGCACATTATTTGACACAAATTCACCATTCACTTTTATGCGCCAATAGCATGCATTCATAATATGCACTCATAAAGACATAAACTCCGTGTGTATACTGCAATCATAACAAACCATTCAGGCTTCTTCACCCTGGACCCACTTATTATTACATCATTTTATTTTGTCAACCTCGATGAGTCACTTACCCTCATATTCACAAAATATTCCGTTACGGCAAGCGCATACTCCTGATATTAGTCCAAATTCATCTTGCTCCCTCCTCATACCTTATCCTCAGTCAGTGTTGAAAATTCCGTCTCCGATTGATCTGCACGTTTATTCGTTACCAGATGTCATATCAGATACCCAACAAAATCGCGAAAGAAAAGAAAAAAAGAGTAGTACCTTAGCGCTTTTTTACTGTTTAATGTCATGCGTTTACAGTTATACTTTTTTTATAAGTTGTGTTATAATAGATAAGTTTCTTGGATGTGTAAGTATTTTAGTATACCAGATAATAATTATGTATTTATCGTAAAATTAATTTTGTTGTATTGTAGGTTGACATTAGCCCAATAACAAGTATGAGAATATTCTTGACCGGATTCGGATTAGAAACCTTACATCGAATATTCGAAATAGCTCTAATTTATAAATGGACTAATGGCGACGTAACGCGCATAAAAGGTTCAGTCATGTTTTTCGGTAAGAGAAAATGCGTACAGTACAACTAAATTAAAGCAAATTTTATTAAAAAAAGAAAATCTTATAAAATAGGCAAGAAAGACGTATACAGCGCATTTGACACAGAAATATTAGACAAAAAACAGACTTTTCGGCTCCAAGTATATAACGACTTGGTATTTCTTGTTTTTGCCAGCTTTTCTATATTGTCGGCATTTTTACTGCCAAAACTTGTATTTGCTGAATTTAAGGTATATTATAATCTATTAGTTGGCCTCTTTGCAATACATCTTCTACGTATGATTATTAGGCATATATATGCATGCTCTGTTTGCAGCAGCAGCAGCTGCTGCTGGTTTAATAGTGAAAGCAGAAGCGGCTTTGAAGAAGATGATTATGATAGCAAGTGTAACTGTTTTACTAATAACTATAGTGAATATGGTAACAATGGAGACTGGGGTAATTGTGGTGACTGTAGTAATTATGAAGGTTGTGATAGTTGCGGTAACTGCAATTGCGCTGATTGCAATGACTGTTGTGAGAACGGTTGTTTTCTCGTATCAATATGTACTTGTACGTGCTGCTGTGTATAGTAATGTGTCATAGTTACAAATAAAACTTGTGTAAGTAAAATCGATTTGTAATTCAATATCGAATGTTCGACAACAGAATGCACAGCATTTTTTTAAAAACATTTAGTATTCCCTTATTCCAAGTATATTCAACAAATATCTGCATGATACCGGAAGTCATTCGACAGTAAACCTGGGAGAAAGTTTGTTTTATTATAAACGAATTTTCGTTACAATTTAGTTTAATTATTTGATGCTATCGAGAATATTATTTAATACAAATATAATAAAGTACCGTCTCATCTATTATCGATCACCTGATCAATTCCTGTATTAGTATTTCAAATTTCAATGATTTAGCCAACCAATTACACCAGCCCATCGTTTGACGATCAAACTGTTTCAAAAAACGAAGACAAACTACGGGAGGGTTTTTATTAGCGTAGCCGCGGTTAAAATTTGTCTATCCAATAAGAGATTTGCAATAGCTCCGTTTGGAAAAAGTTTCTTCGGGAGCACTTGTATTACATGAATAACTTTGGTCAACTTCTCGAATAGGCAAGACACATTCTCGCACAGAAAAAACAAATTAATCATCGGGAGATTTTCATCCTTTGTATTATAGATTCCCGTCAATATAACATCCTTTATTCAAGCCTCACTTAATCCACAATTCAAATCCGCAATTACTCACAAAAATTTCTTTCACACTCTTTCGTTCGACTACAAAAAAAGCTTCTACGTATATGACGGTAATTCATCCTTCCAATACGTTGAGACACCTTTCGACGTAGATAAACCCGAGTAGAACAACATTACACCAGCAACAACCTGGCCAAGTTTCAATCGACCAGCATGTTCTGCTACATCAGATGATAACTAACCACAGTTCTGTACGAGAGGTTGAATTTTAATCGACCCATTATTTTTCGAGCACAATCAATTATCTAACGCTAATGGATTAGCCAAGTACGTGTAAGTCTCGACTAAATCGATGATATTTAAATCCGATAATATGTATTTCGACAGATAGTAAACAAGCGGCCTCCACAATGATTATGTAATTGATCAATCAGCCTCGCGCGGTTTGACTTAACAGGAGGATGTTTATGCGAGCGGAATAAAAGATCGTAAATTTCCTTTCCAGCCGTTCATATTCGCGAACTATTGGTACATAAATTTCTATTACTAATAAACTCAATAAAGACTACAATTATTACGCATCTATTTATCTTTTAATTGTCAAGAACGCCTCAAGTTCACGCATTGCCGGGCCCTGTGCACATTTCATCCTATTGAAATGGATCGTTCTTTACTGCTTCCGAATCTTTTGCAACAAACCCATCGGTTCTGCTTCGTACAGTACATAATGTCGCTCTTCACCCATTTCGCAAGTGGGGCTTTCCACTTCCGTTTTTACATCTTTTCTACCGTCGTCATTCTTCTCCCTAGGCTCGTACTTGTAATTCGGGTATTTCTTTCGATGCATTATTCTTGCCAATTCGTCAAGTATCTTAAAAAAAATGTTTTACGCGGGGCTCTTCATTCTCCCAACGCTCTTTCGCTTCCGCTTTAACGCCCCTTGTGCGACGGGACCGTCGTACCTTTCCTCCAGCTTTATTATGTTAGCAGTTTTTGGTTTAGTTGTGTTGTTGTCGCTTAGTCGTTTGAAGTAGTCCATTTGGCTAGTTGCTATATTATTGATTGTGTCTCTATTTTATCTGGAAATTGCAGAAACCGACAGCCTAGCGCACGAGAGTGACCAAGATAGATAGGTATGGACAGGAATGACTTTGGATCAAACATCTGTATAGCGAATATATTGGCGTGTTAAGAAACGCAAATTGTATTGTATATATCACATGTGATGCATGTATGAAACATACCTTATGATGGCTGGTGAAATGGGCTTCGCTATTATCAGAGATAAGACCCTCACCAAGAGTGTGGAGTATGAAATTATTCTTTCCCCAAGCCTTTGGTTCGAACACTGAGTGAACAGGAAAATCGAAGTCTTCCGTATAATATGCTTCCAATAATCTAGCATTAGCCTCTTGTTCACTGGAGAGAAGAGAACTTCTAGTATACAATTCGTATATTATACATCCCAACGACCACATATCCATTGGTGTATCTGCCTTAATACTAGTACACAATGTAGCCACGCGTTGATTACTTCGGCTGTGTTTGGAAAAAACAAAATTAGCATGCTACGGAATAAGAAACTTTACGACTCGAAACTATAAATCATTGCTCTTAATATTTCTTACTACTTACGTGACAAATATCGTAATGTGCTACTATCAACATATTCCTCTCCATCCACCCTCGCCGCCTCAAAATCAATCAGTCTCCACTTGTTCATATTTTTCGCCTCATGGAAAGTTTCCTGGTTTAACATCCAAATGCACTATTCCGTGATTATGAACATGCTGGATTGCTTGTGCTAACGATTTCACTACCATTACATATAATTCATCCATGAGATTCACGATAAAGTTATCCAAACTCATAGAATACTGGTCCATAATCATAACGTATTTCCAACAAATTGCGATCGAAGATACTTCAACATTACCACCTCGCGCTCGAACGAGTCATAGTTTGAGAAGAACTTTGTTGTCGCTTCTTCACTCACTGCATGACAGAGTTATTGCCACACACAGTATGCCGGTTGAGTCTGTACCTGTCGAATATAACTGAGCTGATGGAGAGATCGAAGTGATACATGGAGATTCAGACATAATAGTCGTCACTTTATATCGATTATAGAGATCGTTTATAAGTTTCGATGGTAAGGAGGGAGTAGAGTTCACTTGAATTGTATGAGGTGAGCCACCAAATGTTTAAGAGTCAGATACTGGAATTGTTTCGGATGCAACTGAACAATGTTCACTCTGAAAACTATGTGCTTCAAATTTGGGTGGTCGATAAATCTGTGAACTGGGCCTTTGAGAACCCGTCTCAGTGATATTTCCATAAGCCGCACAAGAGTTCACTCGCCTTGCAAGGTCCGCCAGGGAACTGACCATCTTGGTACTTTTTTGCATTTTCTGCTGTTACACGCTTACCACTCTTGTGGACTAGCTCATATCGATATTTACATATTTCCTAATCGAGAAAGTGTCTAATTTCTTATAGTCATTAGTTAGTATCAGAAGATGTTAAATCGGGTCTTTCTTATGGGCATTACATTAATAAAATATACTGTATCTACTTTATCTTTCCTAATTTGCATTGTTTTGATTTCCGCTTTCTCGATTAGAACATGACTCAAAAGAGCGATCAGCATGTAACAGTAAAAAGTACAATGATGTCACCGAAAATGTCATATGAGTGCAAAAAAAGTACCGAGACATTTGGTTGGAAAAAATTGGACTAATCAGGTCAGTTCCATAGAGTCCCATCGGTAACAAAGTTCATCTCGTTCGAGTGCGAGGTGGTAATGTTGTGTTGGAAATACGTTATGAGTATGGACCAGTATTCTATGAGTTTGGATAACTTTATCGCGAATCGAACAGAAGTGAAATCGTTATAGCACAAGCAATCCAGCATGTTCATAATCACGGAATAGTGCATTTGGATGTTAAACCAGGAAACTTTGTCCATGAGGCGGAAAATATGAACGGGTGGATGGGGAGGAATATGTTGATAGTAGCACATTACGATATTCGTCACGTAAGTAGTAAGAAATATTGAGAGCAATGATTTATAGTTTCGAGTCGTAAAGTTTCTTATTCCGTAGCATGCTAATTTTGTTTTCTCCAAACACAGCCGAAGTAATCAACGCGTGGCTACATTGTGTACTAGTATTAATGGATATGTAGTCGTTGGATGTATAATATACGAATTGTATACTAGAAGTTCTGTGAACAAGAGCCTAATGCTAGATTATGGGAAGCATATTATACAAGAGACTTAGATTCTCCTGTTCACTCAGTGTTCGAACCCTGAACCAAAGGCTTGGGAAAAGAATAATTTCATACTCCACACTCTTGGTGAGGGTCTTATCTCTGATAATAGCGAAGCCCATTTCACCAGCCATCATGGTTATAAGGTATGTTTCGTACATGCATCACATGTGATATATACAATACAATTTGCGTTTCTTAACAGCAATTTATTCGCTATACAGATAATTGATCCAAAGCCATTCCTCGCCAAGACTGGTCCATACCTATCTATCTTGGCCACTCTCGTACACTCGGCTGTCGGATTCTGCAATTACCGGATACACAATCAATAATATAGCAACTAGCTAAATGGACTACTTCAAACGACTAAGCGACAATAACTATACCAAAAACCGCTAACCGCTAGCAACAGTAATCTCGGAGCAAGTGTACTGCGACGAAAACCAAGCATAATAAAGCTGGAGGAAAGGTATCGTCGCGCAAGGGATACGTTAAAGCTGGAAGCGAAAGAGCGTCAGGAGAATGAAGAGCCACGTGTAAAACAGTTTTTTAAAGTATTTGGCGAACTGGCAAGAATAGTACACCGAAAGAAATACCCGTACGAACCTAGGGAGAAGAATGACGATGATAAAAAAGAAAATGTAAAAGCGTTAGTGGAAAGCCCCACTTGCGAAATGTGTGAAGAGCGACATTATGTACTGTACGAAGCAGAAACCGATGGGTTTGTTGCAAAAGATTCGGAAGCAGTAAAGAACGATTCATTCAATCGAATGAAATGTGCACAGGGCCCGGCAATGAGCGTTCTTGGTTGCTAATGATCCTTCGCATGAATTTGGTGGGTTGTATCCTATCACCATGAATGATGGACGATGGAGATGGGTTGTAATGGTTGCAGAGAAAGAGCTTATGAACATCATAAGATTAGATTATATTCCTAAAAATTATTATTTAGCTACTGAAAATAGATTTATGTAATAATTACTCAAAGGGGGCAATTGGAAGATAAATAGATGCGTAATAATTGTAGTCTTTATTGAGTGTATTTAGTAATAAAGATTTAATGTCACCAATCTTAATTCGATTAGGTGTAGTTCGCGAAATATGAACGTCTGGAAAGGAAACTGATGATCTTTTATCCCGTTCGCGTAAACATCCAGCGAGGCTGATTTAATTACACAATCATTGTGTGGAGGTCAAAGTATATATACATATTATTGTGATTTAAATAGTCATCGATCTAGTCATGGCTTGACTAATCCATTAACAAATATATTAATATGACAATTGATTATGCTAAATTCAACCTCGTACAGAATTGTGGTTTGGGGATGAAGTATAGCATATTTACACGTGTATAGCCGCATGTTTTTGTATTGCAACCTGCATACTATCCAACAGCCGACATTTTACCTGTCCTGTCTTCGAAATAGGTGTGATTACATACCCGCTCAACAGAATGTCATGAACTACAAAAATTAAAATTATGTTTGTGTTCCCTTCAAATGAATTGACCAACCGCGTTACTTTTCTTGATATGATAAATACATGCTACTTTTCAGTTATTGGCCACTTGTTGCGTACTCATAGTTCATATAGTGTGAATAAGAGCGATTGCAAAATGTATTCTCACAAGCCAACGGAATAGGTCAATTTCGACTTGGGCCAGAGCATGTATTTCGTATTTCCAGAATTGCGGAGAATTCGAACAACATCTCATATACAGCTCCAGTAGTAAATATCTAGCTCCTTGCTTTCGTAGCGTTCTTGAATGTATCGGTCAACTAATACATTGCAAGTGACAAAACGTGCTGAGAAGAAACTTAAATATGTTGACAATAGTCATGAACAAGACAATCGATAGCTAGTATCAAAACCGAATAAAAAAATAATTGTTGCAAATAATATTTTTATTACAATATAACGCTTTGTATGCGCATACTGTAGATAGGGCTGGGCTGTAGCAACCAGTTCAGAACTCAGTGTTTTCAGTCCAGAAATGAGACAGGTATATAACACGGGTATGTGAGCTTATTATTTGTTTATTTTTCAGATTCAAAAAGGTTCTCATCGTATTTGATGACAGTTTGTCGTATTAAAAAATAATTTCGTCGTCTTTAACCCCTAACGTCAGTTGTAACGCCATGGATATGTGTTTTCAAAAGGCAATGTAGAAAAATAAACAATACTAACGACGCGAGAGTAATATGTCAACACCAACTATGGTATTTATTGTATCGAACCCACTTCAATAACTCATCCAAAATTCTGAATCACTGAAAAATAAACAATAAAATAGGTTAACGACACTTGATATTAATACCAATTGATCTAAAACATTAATATAACGTCACACCTGCAGCTGAATAATCCAAACCATAATAATAACTGTTTCTTGGTTTAGGCAACCTCCAGTGGGTAAGAGCTTACTAGGGTATTTACTTTGCTTTTCAAGATGCAATAAGAGCCCTACGTCATTATGATAAATGGTATTCAATATACTGTTGTCCGACTTATATAGCGCACCCATACATCTGGATGCTGACATCGCAACACGTCTCTGCAAGCTTTTAATATTCCTCTGGTGCTGAATCAGGCATCGGTAATTGCAATCCATTCAAAATATCAATCTCTATCAAGCTGCCTATCTCTAAAAGGTGGTTCACCAGTGGCAATCAAATACATGATAATGCTGTTCCGAACTGAGACAAATGGGTTCTGGACTGAGATAGGTCCCAAACTCAGTCCACAAATGGATTGTCGGGTGAAATGTACTGTCGATGAATAATTGTCGATGAAATAAATGCCTCCCTTTGTGAGTTTTTCCAGAATATACTCACTTCCAACACGGGATTTTAGCACGCTAATTTTATGTTTGCCAAATAAACAATAGTTATAATGTTGGCGTTTTGATACAAGTCAGCGATGTGATACATAATTTTTGAAATCCTGGAATTGTTGAAAAACTTAAACTGTCATTAGTTAAGGATATCATAATTGACAATTTAAACAAACCTAGTAATAAAGAATGGATACCCTACTCAGTAACCACCGACGTAAAGTCTAGCTATTTGCAAGCTAATATATAATGGTAAAGAATGTTGCTATGCCTTGAAAGCAGTGAAGAATGTACAACAACACTTGTGGAAAAGTTTGCTAGAATATACTCACTTCTACCACACAAATACATCAGGAGATACAAATTATGGCTTGAATATCGCAACAAACTCATAAAAAGATTTACCAAGTCTAATGACAAGTACAATATTACATAGAAAGTTTATAATTACCATTCCCGCATTGGTTCAATGCTGTCGCGTGTGGTGCATTTCACCGACAGTAAACTTAAAACTTTAATGCTGTTAATTTGCTTTATGAAGTTAGTATTATGGATAAAAAAACATCGTTTCTAGTCACTAAACAGAAATACGCGATCGTGTTCAATGCTCGATATATAATTCTGGTACAAGTTGGATTTAAAGACCTATCCGCTATTTATTCCGTACGTGTGACTAATAAATCTATAAATTCCTATTCACTTGTCTAAATTACATAGTTATCTTTACAATTCCTATAATAATGATAGTTATTAAAGTAAAAATTAGCAGCATTAAAGTTTCAAATTTACTGTCAGTGAAATGTATGGTCAGCGAAATGACTGTCATAAAGTGACTGTCGGTAAAGTGCACTGTCGGTGAAATGTACTGTCGGCGAAATGTACAACTGGAAGAGCTGAACAAGAAATAGAAACTAGAGCTGAGATTGATGCAGCAACAAGGAGGAAGAGAATTTGAGGGTATAGAGGCCGAGAATATACAGAGTTAGAAGAGAGAAATCATTGAATAGGGACGTAAGATGAAGGCAAAGACGAAGACGAGAAAGATCTGGTTGTTATTAAAAGACCAAAGATGATGCAGAAGTTTGCCAGTAACAAAAAGTAATATTAAGTTTTGATTTTTTGCGGTCTGTCAAAATTTATGCTTTGTGCAATATAAGAACTCTAATACTTTTTATCTGCCACAGACGGAAGCTTGCGATGTACTAATAAGCAATATGACTATTACAATACTTGTAAAAGTCATTGATGGGCAGTGAATCAACTATAAACTATCGTATTGTTATAACTTTAGTTCTGCTTGACTCTAGCGTGCCGCGTTTAATGTGTTGTTGAGTGTGCGTAGTGCCGTACTGAGTACAAACTATGCGATGATGATATCTAGTAAGGTTTTAACTATTTAAACCAGGCTAACTAGATAAAGCAAGCATATTAATCTCAGAAACTTGTTCCACGCGTAGTAATACGATATCAATATAATCAAAACAAGCTATTTTGTCAATTTACGTTTAACATTAATGTGGTAACAAATATAATAACAGTGAAACTGGTTCGATTATTTTCCGTATAGCAACAGTAGTTAAGCAAAAGTTGATAATGTCAATTGAAAATGGGTAATTGAAAAATTAAAACCTCAAGTATATACTATGTTTAAACATTTTTCCTCAACGTCAGACACAAAGACTTGCTCCGGTTAAAATAACAGTATTAATCATGTCTTCGACTTTGAAACAACGGTATAAGATCCTTGTTAACGAACTGCAGAGTCTGCTGAAAAACAGTACTACGTAGATAGAAGCAAAATAACTGCCCAAGACTAAGCTAAATACGTGAGATCAGAGAAGAGATGTCGAATAGAATAACCCGTATTGGCAGATTAAGATAGCAAAGAGCAATAATATTATACAATTTAATTAATTTCCTGAACATTTATTAATATTGTTTAAGATGTCCTTGAGCTTGAACTCGATCGGTACTTTCAACTAATCTTTATAAACAGGTTTAATTTAGACCATAGCATACTGATCCGGTTTATTTTGGCAAAGGAACAATACTTTATCAACACGACGTTCTAGAATCACAATCAGCTGATTTTTGTTTATCACAACTGGAAATCTCTTCCTAATCCAAATCTCAATGGCATAAACTTCATCGTATCGTCAAGTATTTTTACATATGCCTTATCGATATAAGCGAATACGCCAGTAGACGTATTATTGAATAATAGTAATTTACACTAGGTATGTAACTTTCCGTCATGATGATGTTCTTTATTTAGCAACAAGTATAAGCAACTTATAACCATAACCAAATAAGCTTGTTTGTTTTAAAGATAACAAATATTCTAAGTAAGTTAAACTAATTTCTATTCACTTCGAGATTTACATAACGAAACTAAGTCGACTGTTGTTGTCGAACTGACCATATTATCACAACGTTGAAAGATAATTTTATTACAATACACAAGTAATCATCAGGTTATCTTTTTGAATACAAGTCTCCTAAGGAACCCTTTGGACATCCAACTTTAACTATTGTCCTTATTTTATACACTGATTTTTTTGTTTTCCTTATGTCATCTTTCAATACCTTTTCTCATTGACATATTATCCGATGGATGCCTATAAAAATGGCTAAGTTTTTGGATGCACAAACGCAACACAATGTCAAACAGTAAGCTTTATTGCTTTCAAGTAAGCGATTAGAAAAATAAACGACGTTTTTTTTTCTTCTTATTTTTAGTTAGATCATAAAGCATAGCCTCCTGAAGTGACATTTTAGGCTATATTACAATGAGCACATCCATGCATTAAAGAAATGAATAAAAAAATTATATTATTTTATGTTATGCCGATAAGAAGAAATACAGTACTTGTACACACAAAACTATATCATTTATATGCAAACTTACGCACGTTTGGTCGTAGAAAAAAATGTAGAGAGAACAGCTCTTTTGATTATGCTTTATCAACCATGGTTTGTAGCGTAAAAGTTCGAATACACAAGCTCTGCTTTATAATAGTTTGACGCTTTGGCTTATCTAATTTACAGTTGTTCATTGCACTGTTTGATAAAGGAGAAGAAAACCAGATTGAAATTATCAAACACACTTCTTGAAGCAGTCATTAAAAAGCGCTGACTAATGAGGTTGGCCAAGTTGGGTAGCAGGAGTCGAAATTGTATGTGAAGTATCTTGTCTCAAGGGTTTAATTTGCTTCTTTCTTCGTTGCTCCTTTAGTGTTGAAGTAGAATTGCCGACTGTCTGCTTAGTTTTTGTTTTACGTATAAAGAATCTATCAATTATTTAGTGATATTAGTGCGCCTCATTCTAGGTTGGAATTGAGATATTGCCCCAACAGATCAAAGTCCGCCGAATCCATAAATGGTAGCTTGCACCCATTCATAGGTGCATATTTTCACCTGCATTCACTTACCATTGTTCGGTCGGATGTGTAACGGTGTGACAAAATCTAATGCCCGATTGCTAAAAATACAGGAGGCTGAACAAGTATATATAACTCATGTCCAAATTAAAGAATAGCATCGTCGTGTCATTAAACGGAACAGAAAATTCCATTTCATACGAATTAGACCAAGGTTATACTTGCAAGTGTAATTGACACTAGATTCATTCATAGAAACATTTGTACGCACAATTGTAAATATACTCATAAATAAATACACCGATAAATACACTTGCAAATACATTTATAAATACACTCACGAACATACACTCTTAAATACACTTGCGAATACGCTCACGAATACGCTCACGAATACGCTCACAGATACGCTCATATTATACTCATAAATACACTCATAAATAAATTTATAAATACACTCGCCAACGCACTTATTATTACATCAGTTTATTACACCCTAACCTCGATGAGTCTTTTACCCTCATACTCACAAAACGATCCATTACAACAATCACATACTTCTGATATAAGTCCAAATTTATCCTGTTATCCCGTTACTCCGCCTCAACCAGTGCTGACAATACCGCCTCCAATCGATCCGCCCGCTTATTCGCCACCTGATGTTATAGTAAATATCACACAAAATCAAAACCGAGAAGAAGAGAGTAGTAAGAACATAGTACAAGGAGAAAACATAAAATTAAGATCTTACAAGGCTTTTTACTATTTAATGGCATGCGTTTACGGTTTTACCTTGGTTATAAGTTGTATTATAATAAACAACTTTCTCAAACTTGTAAGTATTTGTACACAGATAATTGATCATGTAAAGTAATGAAGTAAAATTAACTTGATTTTTTGTATTGCAGGCTGTTTGTCCAATAGCAAGTATAAAAATATTCGGGATCGGATTCGGATTAGAAATATTACATCGAATATTTGAAATATTACTAATTAAATGGAGTAATGGCGGCGTAACCCAGATAAGAAGTTTAGCCATGTTTTTCGGTAAGAAAAAAATGCATGAGAAAATACAGTACAGCAAATTAAACAAGTTTTATTTTTATTAAAAATTTTTTTTTGTTTATAGGCAAGAAAGACGCATACAACGCATTTAGTACAAAGACGTTAGATACAGAACAGACTTTCCGACTCCAAGCATATAACGACCTGGTATTTTTCGTTTTTGCCAGCTGTTCTATATTGTCGGCATATTTACTTCCAAAAGACGTATTTGCTGAATTTGAGATGGACTACATCCTACTAGTCAGTCTTTTTGCAATCCATCTTCTACGTATGATCATTACGTATACGTATCCATGCCTTTTTTGCTGCTGCTACTGCTGCTGCTGTTGTTTTGATAGTGAAAACGGAAGCGACTTCGAAGATAATAATTCTGATAATAGCTGTTGTAATAGTAGCTGGGGTAATTGTGGTAATGGTTACGGTTATTATGGAGGTTGTACTAGTTGTGGCGATTGTAGCGATTATGGCGGCAGGAATAATTTTGGTGATTGCGGTGATTGCGGTGACTGTGGCAATTGTGGCAATTGTGGGGATTGCGGTGATTGCGGTGATTGCGGTGACTGTGGCAATTGTGGCGATTGTTGCTTGCTGTTAACTTGTTTGTGCTTTTGTGAATAAAAAAAATTAACAAACTTTGTTTAATTCGGTATGCCAAATGCCTACAAGCAGAATTGTTCCGTATACTTTAGTATAACAGATAAACCATCGAAATGCTTCAAAATGTTTGGAATTCATCTCTTTTTTCGGGTATTTAATCAGGGTATTCATTACAATTAACCTTTATAATCCTTGCTTTGGCAAGAGCAAAGATTTGATGCGTCTATCGGGAATACAAAAACCTGGTTCCCGTTCCCGTTCCTGTTGCCGCTGCAGTGTTTGCGTATTTGGAAAAGAAGAGATGATGCATGATGCTATTTTTACTCTAACGTATTAAATGTTCTCTGATTCCTCTGTGTGCAACCATGCAAATTCTGCATTCACCTCCTGCCATACAAGGATTTATGGGGAGTATGAAACTATCATTTAACGCGCGACAAACATTTGATTATTATTCCGTTATCTTTGTGGTAACTACCAATACGTTCATGTCTGTACAGTTTTACGACGCAAATTTAAAAAGAGAGAGAGAAAAGTTTACAAACAATGCTGATATAGTTGTCAGTACACTTTGTCGCACATTCACATAATAGTGTTTAATTTGCATGATTATAATTAGTAATCAAGTCGTATATGTTATGAATATTGCATTGCATACTTGTCCTACAGATACGTACGTAATTTAATTTATGAGTCTAATATCGATAATGCAAAAAGTTCAAACGGTAAAGGGGTCAAATTACAATAGCACACTCAGAAAGCACGTTTTCAGTGTAGAGCGCTACAGAGAAGTGCTATGATAAGCATACTCATATTGGAAGAGGAGCCATTTGAATAAGCTGTAAATTTCAAGTCACTAAATGTAAGCTTGTAAATCGTATTTTAATATCAACACATTGACAGAATAGAAGAAACCTGGGCCATTCCATCCATGCAGTTACTGTTTCAAGTTTCTGCCATTCTTATTGACAGAACTCATATCTGCTCTTGTCTGGGACTTGTAAATCGCGTAATCATTTCTTCAAGTAATATCATGACACACTTGTTCACAAAAGATGGTACAAAGAGATTCATAGCAATCCACAAGAAACACCCTATCATGTTGCGAGTTAACCGTTTTCAGCGCCAAAAAAATTCTCGTTGAATGCATACGTAAAAAAGGCAACAACCAATCAGATTCCAAGAATTCGCCCGCAGAACGAATTTCATTACCCATAAAATTAATGTAGTAGTATTTGATCACTGACATTTTTAGTAGTGATTTCCCCTTGAAAAAAAAAACTAGTGAGCCATCATGTCCATATTAATATCTCAACAACTTTTTGCAGACATAAGTTTTCCTCTATGATGGTAAATCATAAGAGAGTACTGATAACATTGAAATTAAAGTTGATGGCATTGAAACTGAATCTCAAAGTAAGGATAATGGCAATGTGTTACAAATCACCAAAAGATGGTAATGGGAGCTATATATACTATATTAATATGGCATACTGGGAGGTCTATTACTGGGAAAGAATGATGAGAAAATTTTCAGAGAAGGTCAGCTATTTACAAGGTTTATTTGAGTGGCACACTTCTGTCCAGGTAAGAGAACTAATGTGGTAAAGGAGAGAAAGAAATTAGGGAAGTAGAAGAGGGTGAGGAGTAACACAAAGGATAGAATAAGGTTTTAAAGAGATGCTTATGTGTATTTCAATCAGCAGATTGTGAAACAAGGTGGCCATGTCAACAAACAACAACCATGCCTGCAATCTCTTTCAGCAATAACACTACTATAAACTGTGGTCAATGGCTTATTGCATGGATATAATATCAAAGCCCACCCAAGACAGAATTCATAAGCTTGCAAGAGATAGAGCCATCAAGGATGAGATTGATTTTTGCATTGATATAACTCATTACTATTACTATTACATGTACAATTAGGCTTTTGGCAAGACATTTGTTTTTTATACTCTGCAACTAATACAATCAAGTATCAACACCCAAGTTGCATACCCTCAATCCAAATGAACTTTTACTTTGACAAGAAATAAGTGCTGTGAACAAATTATAAATCTGATGGACTATCTGGTCAGTTGAGCATGTCAGCAAGAGGATTACTGGCTCATTTATGACTATATGAAGGCTTATGTGGAATGGTTTGATTTCTAGTTAATCTGAGGATGAAGTTATTTGGCTTCACAACATTCTCTAGAAAAAAGCTTGGAAGCTGACCTCCAAGTTTGAAGACTATATTGGCCAATTCATGGAAGAATAATATAATCAGTCTCAGATCTCTTTGATATTCACTGAAAAGAAAAGATCAAGATACAGTTCAAAAATTGGAACATTCAAAACTGGAACAGAATTTGCAGTCAGGGAATATACTGAATTTGGTCTTTGATATCACACCTTAATATGCACAATCAGATTATCGTATAAGCACCCCCCAGAGATATACACAGTCAGTCTCGATAAGTCGGTTTTGGCTTAAGTCGGCCAAAATCTTTTCTACGTTTTTTTTCACTATTTAAAAATTCTCGATAAGTCGGTCAATCTATGTAAATTCTCAATAAGCTGTAAGTCGGCTCCAAACGAGTCTTAGTTGAATGCATCTCGATAAGTCGGCCTCACGTGATAGTTGTATAGATCTCGCTAACAAAGCGAATTACACAATAACCGGCGCAATATTGACTCGCTCAAAAGGCTGTGGAATTTGCGCGAAAGTTTAATATATCTGGTTTCAATGCGTCAACTGTAAGCAGACACCTTTTCAATTATAGTTTTCAACGATAATTTTTAGTATTACTTCTAACACACCACTAACCATTAATAGGGTTGGATGTCCCAACTTTAAAAAGAGAAATAATATTAAGCAATATCGCGTAACAGGAGAGGCAGGTAGTGCACCGATTGAAGACTTGCCGAAATATAGAGAAGAATTGCAATCTTTAATTTCACAGTAAGATGTCTACACTGCAGATGAGACAGCACTCTATTGGAAATTGGAGCCCAGCAAATCTCTTGCTCACGGACCTGTTACCGGAGTAAAAAAGCCCAAAGATCGTATAACATGCTCGCATGCAATCTAACTGGGACACATAAATTACCTGCTGTCTTCATTCACAAATATAAAAACCCCCGCTGTATTCTTAATATCGATAAAAAGTCGCTTCCTGTGTTGTATTATTGGAATAATTCAGCATGGATGCAACGATCTATATTCAGAAATTGGATAATGCAACTCAATCAAGAAATGCGCCGGAAAAGAAGATATATATTGTTATTGCTAGACAATGTGTCAACCCATCGATTAGATGACAATGAGCAATTAAGTAACGCTAAATTACATTTTCTTCCACCGAACATGACTGCTCACTTACAGCCTCTCGATCAAGGAATAATCTATTCATTTAAGGTTGCTATTTACTCCTGTTGTGTCATGTATAATTACATCTCAGAATTAACTTGTTCATTTTTTAGGCTCACTATAGGAAATTACTCTGCAAAAACAGAATAGATGCTTTCGATGAATATCAAGCCCACGGATACGAGATTCCTGAATTGAATATATTTAATGCAATTAATTGGACGGCGGAGGCATGGAATAACGTAACTGATGATGTAATCTATCGATGCTGGCAAAGGACTGGTATTATACCAGAAGAATATAGAACAGAAGGCATATTGATTGAAACCGAAGAAAATAATGAAATAGCGGTACAATTTCTTCTTAATCGAATGGATATAATGGATTTAACAGCAAGAGATTATATTGACGTTGATTCAACGT